GCATATTTGACGACTGCAGCGAGCTGTATGGGCCCAGCTGGGTACTACTTTATAGTATGTTCATTCTACTCACTGGGGTTTATGCCTAAAGTCAGACTTGGGTTCATGTATAGGTATGTGTCAGCTGTGCTAGCTATTGGATATATTTAGACTAATTAAGTTCATTGGCAGAACAATTGAATGGGGGGGGGGGAGGAGGATGGGACATGGCAGAGGGTGGGGGATGGGGAATCAGGGATGGCAAAACAAAAGGCAAGGTATGCAGGACATAAGAATTGGAAAATTATTTGCTGAGAACATGTATGTTGATGTGCTTGATTGAGCCAATGCACAGTGTATTTTGGATGGAAAATTCATTTGTGTGTTGTGATGGTGTATAGTGAATTAATGTAGAAAATGAATAAATTAAAAAAAAAAAAAAGCCAGGGACCAGCAGTTAGCATAATGGCTATGTCACTGGACTCCCACGTAGTTGACCGCAGTTTGCGTCCTGGACCTGGTGGCTTAAACTCACGCTGGGTGCGTGTGCATGCGTGCCTAAGATCCCAAGAGGAGAATGGAGGAGAAGGGATTGCAGCATGACCATCGCCCCTGGAGGGTAATTTCTTACTTTCTGTCTCTCTGTCTCTCTCTGTCTTTCTGGCGAGCACACACACCCTATAGCAAAACTTCTAAAAAAAAAAAAAAAAAAAGCCAAATGGTGCTAGAAAGTACATAGTTAACAGCAAGTTTGCTTCCTATCCTCCCTCTTTCTGGCTTTCCCCAGAGGCACACACCGTTACTAATTTCATGAGTATCTTTCTGGATATAGTTTGTCTACGTCTGCATAAACTAAGTAGTTATATCTCCTTCTGTTTTACACAAGTGACAGTGTGGGGAACCAGCAGTTAGCGTAAAGGCTATGTCGCTGGACTCCCACGTAGTTGACCGCGGTTCGCGTCCCTGACCCAGTGGCTTAAAACTCACGCCGGGCGCGTGTGCGTGCGTGCCCAAGATCCCGAGAGGAGAATGGAGGAGAAGGGATTGCGGCGTGACCATCCCCCCTGGGGGGTGAATTCTCGCTTTCTGTCTCTATGTCTCTGTCTCGCGAGCGCACGTGCCCTATAGCGAAAAAAAACTCTCCAAAAAAAACAAACAAACAAACAAAACAAGTGACAGTGTGCAAAACACTGTACATAGCATTTCATCAAAATGTCTTATAGATCCTATTTGGTAAACTTTCGTTACATGTACCAACTTTTATTGAACCAGTCTCTCACTCCTTGTCTGTTGAGGTGCTTTCTTTTGTTGTTAAGTTTCTTTCTTTCCTTTCTTTCTTTATGGCAGGTACCCTTGACAGAGTCTCACCATACCATGATCCTCCCCAACCCAGCCTTCCAGCCAGTCAGAGTTGGATGTTCAGATCAACTTAGGATCTGAACCCGGGCTCTCCCCTGTGGCTCTGCATTGCTCAGTGGCACCTACTGTCCGCAGCCCCACAGCTGGGCCTGTTTAGATGTTTCCTCATTTTTGTTCATGTGGGTTTGGTTTTTTGTTTTTGTTTTTGTTTTTGTTTTTGCTTTTGTTTGCCATTGCTAGCAGGGCTATTATGAATATCCTTGCTGGGTAACACAAGTTGTTCTTCAGGATCCTGGTGAAATAGATATCTTGACCTCCAAGGCATGATCGGGGCCTCTCTGTTTTGTCCACACACTTAATTATCTTTTCCTGGCAAGAGGCTTATGTGCCTGGTGACCCATGATTTTATACAGGGAGGTGAGGGATATCATTTCAGAAAGCACCCAGGTGGAGAGGGTCATGACTGGGTGCCTTCTTCTTTGCCAGGGTTGCTTCTAAGCAATTACAGTTACTCCAGCTGTCCACGGGCAGCAAGTTCCCGTTGAATCATTTAGAGGAGGCTCCGATCCACGTGGACCTCCGAGGACTTCTGGTGACTCCGTTGGCATGTTTGGGAGATGTTAAAGCTTAGTGAAGACCCTCTTCTTCATATGAAGCCAGTTGTAATTAAGTAGAAAGACTTAAGGACTCTTTGAGAACTAAAAGCTTGTCCCATGCAAAACGATCTGTGGCAATTTGGGGCATGATAGGTTTTTAAAAATGCTTAGAGCAGAAACCTGTGTCTGCCCAGTGTCATGTGTTTAAAAGGGCTGAATATGCACTGTATTTGTTTTACCTTTGGAAATATTTTTTTTCCATCAATTATGAATTATGAATTGCTCCAGTTGGGGAGGTCAGTGTCATGAAATTGAATTTCATTTAGTGGCACCCTGGGAGGCAGAGGTGCTGTTCAGAGATGGTGAAACCTTAGATCCTTGGGCACTTTCTGTTGTCATACAGATGAAAGCCTAACAAAAAATCATTGTGATGGTGTTGGGGTTTAGAGGCAGGAGGGAGCGAGTTTGAATGTTTCCTCCTCTTTCTTTCTTTTTTTTTTTTTTAACCACAGTGGCCCTTCTTAGCCAATCCAGAAACATGATAAGCAGACTTTGCAAAAGCATTGTTTCTCTGACAGCTGGATGAATGTTGAGTTTGTTTGGGGATGAAGACTATATATATTTCAGGGATCCACCCAGTTCCTGACCGGAGAGGAGAGGCTTGGTAAGGCTAGCACATTCAGCCAGTTGTGGTTTTTGTCTGAGTAATTTCAGTTTCCTAAATCTGAGGAGTCCATCATTGGTTTTGAAAAAGATAAGACAGGCACAGATCTCAGTCCGGAAAAGTTGCTAGTTAGAACAGACGACTGGATGCTTTCCCCTGGAGACTGTGATCTTCATACCCAGGCCAGGGAAGTATGTCCTGAGGTCAGCGAAGGCAAACATTTTTGGAAAGGAAGCTACCCGTGTTGTTTGTTTCCAGAGAGCCGTTTCTGTTAGTGCTTGTTCACAGCCGACACTGTGCTTTTAAAGTCCCAGGCCTAGTTCTTTCTTCCTGTCCTTGATCTTACTCAAATCTGGGAGGGGGAGCCAGGCATTTTCCATGGACTGGCCATAGCCAGGACTCATTTTAATAATAGGAATAATCAGATAACTGTCATTTCTAGTTAGTTTCCAATTTATTTCTCTTTTGCTAAGAGAGGTAATAAAAACGATCATTAAGATCTTTATGTTAAATTGAGTAAAAGAAGACAAAGTTCCTTAGAACTGCAAAGCTTAAGTAAGTTATAAAGGTTTTGAAGGGCCAGTGGGTGGTGGTGCAACTAACATGACCGTCTGATGCTGGATGCGCGTGAGTCCTGGGTCTGGGTTTGGGTCTCAAGGGCTCCCTTTACAGATTGGGCTGGCTGTGGCAAGGGGGGGATTGTGGCATGAAGACCCAGTTGTAGGTGCCTGTCTATCTCTCATGGAAAAAGTAAATAAGTAAACTTATAAAAAGATCAAAGGTTTGTCAAAGAGTCTAGATTGATTGTGCTTCCTGTAGGAGCGTGCATGTACGAGATTATAAACAGCTTCGCCTTAAACCTCTGTGAACAAAACGATGTGCCATGTGAGGCTTAAGCCAGGTGTTTGTTCTAAACACACCCAGACAGCTTTTCTGCCGGTAGGAGGTGCCATTATATCTCAGCCTTTTTCCTCTTTAAGAGAGTGGTTGCTGTCATAACCCGGGATGTTTGTCAGCTCTAGGTCCTGACATTCTAATGACTTCTTCTCCAGCTTGTTCCGTGAAGGAATAACTTAGGCTGTTGATTTAATTAAGTGTCAGGCTGTCAACTTCAGCCAGGAGATCACATTTGTGAAACATCACCAGATTAATAGCATCCCTGTTTGGGGCGTCTCTTCTAGAAAGCAAAGGTTCACCAGGGGTGGAATTGGCAATACTCAAGGCCACTCGGGGGTTCTTTCCTCTCCCTCTCGCCCTGAAGACATGCCGTTGGCATCTGTGGGTGTTGCCTCAGAGGGCCTCTGTAAGTATCTAGTATCTTTAGAGGTAGGACTTTGCCTTCAAACACCTTTTTGGAAGTTTGGCCTTGATTCTTTGGAGCTCTGATCTTTTTCGTGTTTTGACAGTTTTCTGTCTCATTATAAATGGAGCTGTAGCTTGAAGCATAGGTGTTTGGCAGTTTCTTTGTTTCGGGAACAAACAGAAAATCCCCAGTAGAATAAAAAGGTGGCAGTCCCTCTGAGGGGCTCTTTCTGTCCACTCATTTCATACATATTGTACTGGTCACCTGCTGTGTGCTAGATGAGATACTTACCTCGAAGCGCTGACTCCAGAGCACACGGCCCGCTGGACTTCGGTGGGACGTGGCTGGCAGCCTCACTCCTCGGGGGGGTAAGAAGTAGGATGGCCTGCTCCCGCTCTGAGCAAACCTACCTCCTAGAGAAGGGAGGCAATATTGCAAGTGAGGAAAGCCGACAGCAGCAGAGGGTCCTTCCTTGTGGGGTTCTCACTTTACTCCACACTGCCCTCTTACCTTCAGCCTCAGGGACATTCCTTCCCCACACTCCAGGCCTCAGCACAGTTCTTTGCCTCCATTATCGTCCCTTTAACATAAGGACTGTCTGTCTATCTCTGTGTCTCTCTCATGGAAGAAATAAACTTAAAGGGGCAGGGAGGCAGGTGGCGGTGCAATGATAATGTAACTGGACCCAAATGGGGAAGGTCTTGGGTTCACATTCTGAGACCTCCTTTGAGCACACCAAGCCGGCTGAAAATGGGGGTATATTGTGGTGTTAGGACCATGTCAGGGATGCCTGCCTCCCCCTTTCTCTGAAGACATGGGTAAATAAACCTTAATTAAAAGTAAATAAGACTGTGGGGCCGGCAAGTGGCATGGTGGTTAAAGGCTCTGGACTCCCACATGGCCGACCACGGTTCAAGTCTCGGACCTGGTGACTTGCTTCCTCACTTCCTCTCTCTCTGTCTCTCTCTGATAAAACTGAAAAATAATAATGACAATAATAATAAATAAAGTTAAATAAAAATAATTCAAAAAAAAGTAGGAACTTTTAAAAAGTTTAAAAAAAAGTAAATAAGACTGTTTAATACTACATGCTAGAACCCCCAAATTATTGCAAGAGGAATATAATTCCTTGAAGTCCTTAGAAATGTACAGTCACAATTTTGAAAATGAAAGGCTGCTATGTATACAGTATTGTAGTTCTCTATAAAAAATGGTTGTCCAACAGAGAGTTGCTTTTGTGATTTTCTACAAGATACTGTTGAATTAAACCACCTCAACACAAAAGGTCACAAGTAAGGTGTGGAACAGTTATTGAGCATGATCCTGATGGAAGGAATTCCCCAGTCCTCCTTAAATACCGTCCGCCAGACTGGCACATATTTTCCTGTGTCTTTTTGTCTCAGCAGATTAAAAGCCTGTTGGGTGAATTCTCGAACCAGTTTGGGCAGTTGCTCTCTGTTGCCTATAGGTGGAATTTACTTCTTTTCTTCTTTTATACAGGAGGATTTTAAGAATGACATGACTTCCAAAGCCATTCACAGTATATTTAAGAATGCTGTACAGCTGCTGCAGGAAAAAGGATTCATTTTCCAGAAAGACGACGGCTTTCAAAATCTGTTCTATGTAAGAGATCTGCAACTTCGGTTTTTTCTTCCCGGCCTCTATTACAAATATATTTATTAATTTTTTTATTAAGATTTTTGGACATAGGGCATGTACTCTTGCCACAGAGAGAGAGAGACAGAGACACAGAGAGAGGGAAAGCAAGAAAGCACCCCCTAGTGGGGATGGTCATGCTGCATCCCTTCTCCTCCATTCTCCTCTCAGGATTTTGAACACACGTGTACACACATGCCCAGCATGTTTTCCAAGCCACTGTATCTGGAACCCTAGAGTGGTTGACCATGTGGGATCCAGCTGCTCTAACCATCATGCCACTTCCTGGTCCTGTTTACTATTTATGAATACCTACTTACAGTTTTCAAAGATAAAGGAGGTACATAAAATAAGAAGAGAAGGGACCACAGGTGGCATGGTAGTTAAAGCACTCGACTCCCACATGGCCAATCACAGTTTGAGTCCTGGACATGGTAGCTTCAAAATCACGTGTGTGCATGGATGCCCAAAATCCTAGGAGGAGAACAGAGCGGCAGGGATTACAGCATGGCCATTCCCCCTAGGGGGTGCATTCTCACTTTCCCTCTCTCTGCCTCCAGCGAGCACACACACCCTATGGCAGAAACCTAGAAAATAAGACAAGAACTAACTGAAAGTCAGCCCTTATCTTTCCCTCAAGTTACCTCTCTTCAGAAAATATCCCTCAGACATGTATCTGTACATTACAAATGTTCCATATAAAAATATGCTCCTGTAGCTTTTCTACCAAAAATGTGATTATCCTCCAGACAGGGCTGCTCAGTCTCAACACTGTTTGGGCCACATGGTTGCTTGAGGCCGCCCTGTGCATTACAGGGTGTTTGGCATCATCCTTGACCTTCACCCACTGGATGCCAGAAGCAGCCTCCCTAGTTGTGACAACCCAAAGTATCTCCAGACATGGCCAGATGTTCCCAGGAGAGTTGAGAACTGCTACTCTAACTAAGGCTCAGCAACATTTTTGGTACCGGGAAGTCTACGACGGGCGCCTTTCCAACATTAGTGCTTAGCGGTCTGCCTTTCTTTTCTTTTTTTTTTTTTGAGAGGTTTTTCGCTATAGGGCGTGTGTGCTCGCCAGACAGACAGAGAGAGACAGAGAGACAGAAAGCTAGAAATCGCCCCCCAGGGGGGATGGCCACGCTGCAATCCCTTCTCCTCCATTCTCCTCTCGGGATCTTGGGCACGCACGCACATGTGTCCGGCGTGAGTTTTAAGCCACCGGGTCCGGGACACGACCCACGGTCGGCTATGTGGGAGTCCAGCGACATAGCCATTACGCTAACTGCTGGTTTTCTGCCTTGTTCTTTTTACCTCCTCATGGCTCCCACACTGCGGATCCCTGCTGTAACCTTGTTAACCTTTTCTTTTCTGGTAGACATTCATGGCGCTTCTGACTTTTGCTTTTGGAAATACAGCTGCGATGGCTGTTTTTACATAACCCTGTTTGTGACATTAGGTAAATATTTGTGGAAGAGTGACTAATGAGATGCTAGAGCAAGGCCAGCAGATGGCGTGGAGGTTAAGGCAACTAGATCCCTATGCCTACTGCATAAAGTTCCAGACCCAGCAGCTTGAAAAACACTCCCAGTGCACATGCATGCATGCCCCAGATCCCAAGAGGTGAATAGAGGAGAAGGGATTGCAGCATGGCCAACCCCTCTGGGGGCTGATTTCTCACTTTCTTTTTCTCTCTGTCTGTGTCTCTGGTGAGTGCACATACCCTATAGCATAAGAAAAAAGATTGGTTGGAGCAAATCACATGTACCCTTGAGCACTGGATGGACATGGTCCGTTTGGCCTCCTAAGGACTGGCCCAGCTGACTCTCTCACTAGGAGTATGAGTGCTTATTGGATTCACTGTTCCTGAGTTAGAAGCTCAGCCTTCATTGCTGGCCTTCAGTACCGGAGGAATTGAGCTGAAAGTGGGCCTCCTTGGGACCACTGATGGCAGTTCTGTAGATGTGTCTTCAGGCACGTGTGCTCAGTGCTCCCAGAGAGGGCCGAAACCCTGAGGTGTCCCAGGAGTCTCACTGTTTATGAGCAAAATTCTAGAGGGGAACCTTTTCTTAATAGTACATTTCCTGTTGTTGGAAGTGTTCCAGTCTGTGTGAGGGTCAGTGCCGTCTGTCTCGTCCCTTTGTCTCCTGGAGGGTTAGAGAGCTCAGAGGGCAGCTCACCCCAGCCCCTCTGGGACACACATTCCCCGCAGGTCTATAGAGCAGGCCTTCCTGGGGAGCAGGAGGGCCCCAGGCTGCAGTCCAGGGCCGGGAGTGGCAGGGCTGGGCACTTCCTCGTGTGAATCATTGTGAGCCGGGACCTGTGATCCAGCAAGAATAGATCTCTGGTCTCCTCCTCTGACTCCTCCCCTTCCACTCAGTGCCTTGTAGGGGCCTTGTAGGTTTCCGGACTTATAGGCCCTGCCTTGCCTCAGTGTGGCAAAGCCCTTACTGCTGTGGTTTTCAGCCCCCCAGCACACATTACCATATTTACTCTTCACCCTAACCTGGGGAGTTGAGAGGAGGCAGGTGCTATCAGTATTGCCATCTGTCAGTCAGGTCAGACAAGCATTCTTGGGTTCTCTTTAAGCAGGAAACTTATAGCTGTTTGCTTGCTTGTTTATCTTCTTTTGTTTGGTAAGTTTTTTGCCATAGAGCATGTATGCTCACCAGAAAGAGACAGTTGGAGGGAAAGCAAGAAATCACCTCTAGGAGAATAACTACACCACAATCCCTTCTCCATGCTCCTTCTGAGATTTTGGGCACCCACTCACATGCACTCAGTGTGATTTTTCAAGCCACTGGGTCCGGGACTTGATCCATAGTCGGCCACATGGGAGTCTGTCACCTTAACCAATATGCCATCTGCTGGCCCCACCTGTATATCTTCTTAATCCCTCTGTTTCTGTCTAACTTTATTACTTCCTTCTTTTCTTCCTGTCTTTTTTCTCTTTCCTGTTTCCTTTTTTCGTAGTAGACTCATTACTGAACACGAAGGTGAAACCATGTTTGTGTTTTCTTTTACTTGTGCCTGAGGAACGACCCAGGTTATGTGTACCTTCCAGAACAGGCGTTGCAATGGATAGGCTAGATTCCCTCTTGTTATCTTCTCTTCATAGCTTTTTTCCTCTGTTGTTTTTTCCTTGTGCCTGGGAAAAGGAAGAAAACTAATGAAACACAGACAGGGCTAGGGCCCCAAAGGAAAGAGTCCTGAGGTGGAAATGAGAGGCTGTGAGTCCTTGGCCCTTCCTCAAGAGTAAAACAAAAAATAAGACAACTTTTATGAATGTGTGATGAGTATTTAAGAAGAAAGGTGTTCCTTCACAGGAGAGAATTTCAGATTTTGTATGAGTTATGACCCCAGTGAACCAACACCTGAGGGCATGTCCTGAGGACCAACCACCAAGCAGCGAGCCGCTTAGGGACAGAAAGCTGGTTTGGTAACAGGCCAAGTGTCGAAAATTGAAATTGAAGTGAGTGGTGCAGGGAGGGGCATGGTTATGAAATCTTTAGAAACTGTAGTCTGGGTGACAGGACTCCCTACTACTTTTCCTACTTAGGTAACCAGAGAAGACAAAGGCCTGCACAGGAAGATCCATCAGATCATCCAGGAAGACTGCCAGAAACCCAACCGTAAGGGGTGGAGTATACGGGGCCGCCCTGGGGTGCTGGAAGGGGTCACTTTCTCCCAGGGAGCTCTGGGTGGAGTCAGGAGACCCGGGGCTTTTCCTGGTAGTGCCTTAGAAAGAGGATGGTCAGGGCACCTGCCCGCAGGGAGCCTGTTTGCCCCTCTCGGTCAGTGTGCACCGACCGTGCTGCCACATAAGATTTAGCCTTGGAACGTGTCTAAACATGCAGTGCTTGGGTCCCCCTCCCCCGGGATTTTGATTTGGAAGGGGAGGGTTAGGGGCTAGAGAGGTAATCTCCCCAAGTGACTGATCCAGCGAGGTAAGCCACTGTGCTAGGACTTTGATGTCTTTGCGGTTCTTGTGTTTTCTCTGATACCTGTTATTTCTGCTCCAAACTGGTCTCTCGTCTTGAAACACAAACATCATATTTTCTTCTTTTCCAACAGCAAGGCCTTTCAGTGCTGGGAGGACTGGTTCTAGACATCAGGGTTTATGAACAGTGTAATTTAGTCATCTTGGACACTGATCATTTGCAAAAGGAATGGTTTAACAACAGCTGGTTTTAGTGGAGTTAGGTCAGCCCCTAGTGGTTAGACACTCTAACTGTAGCTAGTCTGACAAACATTACTCTTCACACTAGTGAGAAGAAAAGGGGCGGGCCTAACTTTAAACCCCATTAACAACTGGCCAGTCTTAAAGGTGACTTCTCAAGGTCTCCCTTTTGCAAACTAATTCTAATAGCAGATTTGGGGAAGAGTCATAAATGACCCCAGTTCCCTGATCCTGCCAGAGAAGTCCACCCCCCAGGGATGCCAGCCCATTAGTCCTTACATTCCCGGGACTTGAACCTGCTCCAGGTTGAGTCAGTGGGTAGAGCTGGGCCGGGCCCCAGCCCTGGTGTTTATAGTGCACAACCCTATTTAGACTTTATGAATCCTGAGAGCTGATGAGGTCAGATCCCAGAGTGGTGTGGCTATAGGTCTAAAAATAAACTCAAAGCAGTTTATTATTTTAATGCAAATGAATGAATGTTACTGGCTTCTTCAAAACAATAAGAACTAGTACCCTTCAGTTGAGGGAGAAGCCTGCCTATGCACAGGTCAGAGTTAGGGTTTTTTTAAGTTTCTTTCTTTCATGGGTGGAGAGAGAGAACACCGCTGACAGGGCCTTGATGCTATGATCCACTTCCAGCCTTCACTCAGCCCTGGACCATGAGTACGCTGGGCATGCAGGGAGTTCTTTGGACTTGAACCAGGAACTTTCCCATGTGGGATTGCCTCTCAGAGCATGGCATTTTACCTCTGCACCACCGTCTGGCTCTCTAAGGAACTCTTGAGAGCAGTCCAATGTGAGATTCTCAAGGGGTGGGAAGATGCACCCAAGGTAACATTCCTGCACCCATCCTAGTCCCAGAGGGCCCGAGGCCCTTACTTTGATCTGTATCAGGATCTAGGGTTGGAAAAGCGAATGAAAGGAATTTGCACCTCATTTCCCTGGAGAAGCTAACAGCCTCAGTGATCTGAGGGATCATCGGGATGGTGAGTTTTTCATCCCCCTGCAGGCCAGCTCCTACCTGTGACTGCATGTCGAGAGGCAGGAGCTCAGCCCTCCGTTAGTAAATGGGGGCCCGTAAGAGCCACAAGCCAGTTGCCTGGTGCTAATAAACTTCCTGGAGCTGAGTTCTGGAGCCTGAACAACAAAGAACACTGATGAAAGACCACCAGGGATGCCTGGAAATCTGCTGTGGCCACTCTTCGTAACACCGTTAACCGATGGTGGTAGATGATTATTTTTAATATTAATGTTATGCACATCATGAAAATGTCAGACAGTGTAAAAACACACACAGAAAAGGCACACTGCTCGTAGCCATCAGCTCCAGGTTTGGAGTCCCCCTCTCCAAAGGCAGTGGTTTTGCCAGTTTCTTGCTCCCAGAGATGGTATATGCACTTACAAACATGCATGTGTAGTTTTCATTTTTAAAAGCCACAGGTGGGGCTGCGTAGTGGCACAGTGGTAAAACCTGATGCTCCGTGATGCTGATCAGCAGGGAAAGGTTCCAGGTTTACATCCAGGGACCTCCCTGAGTACTCTGGGTGTGCAGCTGCCCATGATCCAGGGCTGGTTGAGGCTGGGGGCGGATCACAGCATCAACGCCCTGCTGGAGGTGTCTCCCTCTCTTTCTGTCTCTCTCTCATTGAAGAGATTTTTTTAAAGGTTTTTGCCATAGGTACATGTGCTCACTGGAGAGAGAGACAGAGTCAGAGAGAGAAAGTGAGGAATCACCTTCCAGGGGGATGGCCAAGTCACAATCTCTTCTCCTCCATTTTCCTCTCAGGATTTTTGGCCACACATGCCTGGCATAATTTCAAGCCATTGGGTCCAGAACTCACACTGCAGTCAGCCATGTGGGAATCCAGCACTTTAACCACCATGGTACCTGCTGGCCCTGAAAGCATTTAAATTTAAATTTAAACTTTAAATTTAAAATAAAAATTTTAAAACATATGTAAAGCTTAGCATACAGTATATAAATGTCTCACATCTTGTGGGGTTTTCTTTTTTCTTTTTTTAAGAGAGATTTTTACTATAGGGCTTGTGACCTCACTGGAGAGACAGAAACAGACAGAAAGCAAGAAATTACCCCCCAGGAGGGATGGCCACACCGCAGTCCCTTCTCTTCCATTCTCCTCTTGGGATTTTGTTTTTTTTGTTTTTGTTTTTTGTTTTTTTGAGAGGTTTTTGCTATAAGGCGTGTGCGCTCACCAGACAGAGAGAGACAGAGACAGAAAGCAAGAAATCACCCCCCAGGGGGGATGGCCACGCCACAATCCCTTCTCCATTCTCTCAGGATCTTGGACACGCACGCACATGCGCCTGGTGTGAGTTTAAGCCACCGGGTCTGGGACTCAAACTGTAGTCGACTGCATGGGAGTCCAGCCACATAGCCATTATGCCAACCACTGGTTCCAAAAGTACCTCGGTTTTTTAATAGCAGCAAGGTGTTCCATAATTTATAGGTAGATATTTGGCCATTCATTTAGCCATTCCTACTGGCCTTTAATTTGTTTCTGACCTTTCATTCAAAATATAGCATTGATGGGGCTGGCAGGTGGCATGGTGGTTAAGGGGGCTGGACTCCCATGTGGCCAACCACAGTTCGAGTCCTGGACCTGATGGCTTGCTTTCTTACTTTTCCATCTCTCTAGCTCTCTCTCACTCTGTCCCTTTCTGGTCAAATTTAAAATTAAAAAAAAAAAAAGTCTTCAAAATATAGCACTGTGTTTTTCCTTGGCAGGATGATTGGTGGAAGGATTCCAAGTTTTTGGTCATTTATGAGTGTCTCAGCAAAGGCTGAACCTACAGCAGTGAAAGGACTATATTCCCCAAACCCATTTCAGGTCCCTGAGGGACAGTCCAGGGTTTGTCTAAAGATAGGCAGCATGGCATCATTGAGAAGAACTGGGCTCCAAAGCCACCTCGCCTGGGTTGGAATCCCACCTCTGCCACTCTGTATGACCTTGGGCGAGTCTGGGCTGTAGGTTGCTTATGTGCAAAGTGAGGGTAATAGTACTTACGTCATAGGCTGTTACGAGAACTAAATGCATCGCCGTTTATAGAGCTACTGGAGGGGTACTTCGTACATGATTAGGGCTATGGAAGGGTTAAATTAAGATGTCCTGTTTCCTGTAGCCCTTAACTCTCTAGCCCTGAGACCTGAAGTCTCACTGTCTGCTCGATTTAATGTTGATGTAAAAGGAAGCGGTTTCAAATATGTAGACCCTTGTCAGGATTTTGTTCTATTCCTGTTGGGCTGTGTTTTTTAGATTCTGGATTTTGACTTTTAAGAATGGATATAATAGTGACAAATTATCCACATTGAAGCGCTCCACGTTGAAGATTCGTGTGTGTGTGTGTGTAAAGTTTATTTTTCCTTCCACGAGAGAGACATAGAAAGAATGACAGGCATCCCCAAAAGGGTCCCCACACCATGATCCATTCCCATTCTCAGCCAGCCCAGATGATGGACACACATGTGTGCTTGGTGTGCTCAGGGAGGGTCCCAGGATACAAACTCAAGACACCTTCCCAGTGGATTCAGTTGTAGTACCACCTCACCCCTGCCTGGACTCTGAAAGATATTTTTATATCACCAACTTCTCATTCCAAAAATGTTGCAACCATAGAAAAATTAAAAGACTAGTATAATAAATAGCTATATATTGGAACCAGCAGATGGTATAATGATTATGTCACTGGACTCCCACATATTCAACCACGGTTCGAGTCCTGGACCCAGCTACTTAAAACTCACCCTGGGTGCATGTGCATGTGTGCCCAAAATCCCAAGAGGAGAATGGAGGAGAAGGGATAGAGGCATGTCCATCCCCCCTTGGGGGTGATTTCTCTCTGTCTCTGGTGAGTGCCTGCGCCCTATAGCAAAAACCTCTCTTACAAGACATAGTAAATACCAATATATCCTTCACCTAGAGTCACTAAAAAATTTAAGCTTGCTTTTTCCTTTTTTTGGGGGGGGGGAGGAGAAAACAACCTCTATGGGAAATGTTCACACCTCAGTCCCTTCTCCATCTCTGCCTCCTGTCAGGATTAGCCTAGGACCCACATGTACTGGGCGTGTAACCCGCGCGCCCACTGGGTCGGGGGTGTAACAAAAAGCCACTAGGTCCAGGACTTGAACCACAAGGTCGGCCATGTGGGATCCAGCTACCTTAACCACCAGGCCAAGGAGCTGACCCAAAGCTTGTATTTTCTAAGTATAGGAACATTCTCCTATATGATCATCATATCATTTTTAACCTAAGAAAATGAGCATTCGATGAGTTCTAAAGTGGCAGCATTTTTAGATGGTTACTTTGTGCCGTTAGGTTTTCAAAAAGCTCACATGCGTCTAGCCCAGACTTGTCTATGCCTTGAATAATACAACTCCTTGTTGTGGAAACAGATACCATCTGACCCTACTCATAATGGAGTAATTTTTTTATA